TAAATACGAAATAGACATGGACACAATATCTTGACCAGGTTTTGAAAAATGAAAACACTATATAAATACATACTTGCAACAAACTGTTTCTTATTTAACAGTTTATATATATATATATACACAGCATGTCTCAAAATGTTTATACACATTTTGGAGTTTTCTCGAGAAATAATATAAGCAAATGGAACCAACTTCATATCATTAAAATAATACATAAGAAGACAGTATTTGTTAGAAATGGATGCTTATAATATTTTGAAAGTCCGTTATGGCCCAGATATTGTTGTTGACAACGCCGTGCTATTAAATCACAAGCAGCAATCAACACTTCGAAAGACATTTGGCTACATTCTTGCTCCCAAAACATCTCTAATTTTGGGCATTTATTGCAATCTTAGCTATATGTGTAATTATTAATATATACGCCATAGTTCTGTTTAACTACATTGAGTATTGTTTTCTTTACACTAAAAATTAAATAAATATTTATTTGCTCATCTGTATATATACGTAATATATATATATATATATATATATATATATATATATATATATATATATATATGCCAAAAGCATGTTTCACAATAGCTTTCATGGAAAGACAGTGGAATTATACTACATTTGTTCTTATCCCTTACCTGTATATATATATATATATATATATATATATACTTGGATTATATACCAGCGGATTTATTATATATATATATATATATATATATATATATATATATATATATATATATATATATATATATATGGGCCTAAATTTAAACTCGTGACTAAGCGCTACGTTACCCATACGTACTTTTACCTGTTAATTATATACGTCCCTTTTTTGAACATTCGCGCTTTGTCTTCATCTTGTCTTCTCACATTGCTCCGACTAATACCTACTTTCCAGCGATGTTATTCAGTCTCAATGGAATCCGCAATTTTCTATTCCTATCCTTTCCTAATCAAAGAAATAATCGTTGCCACTAAAAAGTGTTCTTTCGCGTCAGCGCTACATGAGTAGTTGCAATGTAAAGTAACTTAATCATAGTTATTAGATTATCCTTTACGATTTGGAACTTTTTTCAGGCATTTGTTACTGCACATGCGCACTTCCCCGTGGTGTAATTATCTCGTTAGAACAATTCCGACTGAGTAGAGCGTTCGATCGTCACTCATACTTTCGGCCTTGTGCCACAACTAAGCTACGCTTAGTAAATCGCCATTTGTTTTTGCACAGGATAACAAACTTTTTAACAGAACAAGTTTATGACATAAAGATAGCAAGTGTTTCTGCATTTGTCATTATAAAAATATTTGTTTGGATAAGCTTTAGTTAGTTTAATGCGAGGCGGCAATAGTATGACACCTAGTGCGGTTCTACGACAGAAATTGGCTGTGAGAGGAGCTTAAAAATCGTCACTCCAAGGCAGGGATATTTGAAGTTATTTACTGATATATGGTAGAAGTCAATACACAGAAGATCCAATAAGAAATAAATTCAACATCAATGGACTGTGAGATTGGTGTTTAATCTACAAGAGACACATGGGAAATTGGCTCAGTAAGTCAAAAGAGAATCGCCCAGTTTGAATCAAAATTACTAACAATTGTTTGCGAGATAAGTTTTTGTTCTATTGGTCGGCAGCATGTGCTTTTTACTAAGCATGGCTTATTTTGTTACGAAAGCATGCTTACAAGTTCTAACCTGACCAAGAAGGGATTTTACGCTATAAACCTAATGTTCGGTCCTTTGGATATATTATGGGATGTGGATTGCGTCAATAACTTTTCAGCACCCTCTCATCCAAATGAAGATCGATTTCAGCATCCTCTGCAACAGATGAAGATTGAACTCACGAACGAGTAATTATGATACTTGATAACCAATGTAGACGCCTTCAACCTACAAATCTGTATCCCTGTGCGCATGCGAGAGAAAGAAAATCGGATGCCACATCTTAGTCCATGCGTTTCGGCGCATGCGCAAAGTTATCGAGTGCATTTGTATGATCAGATGCACGATAAAGACGTGACTTTATGTGCATATATTTTTGTCCATCCCAATGCGCGTGCGTGGCTATGATTGAATACGTATTTGTAGGAACGTGTACATATACACTGCGCACGCACACTAGTAACATTTAATACAACTTTAGCCTGGAGTTATCTCTTCTTTCAAAATAAAATAAAAAGCAAAAAAAAAAAAAAAAATTGTAAATTTCACAAAACCAGAAAAAAAAAGGACGATCTGTTTTTTGTTTTTTTCATTTTTTTTTTTAAACAATAAATATGAATATATTTTTAGTACTTTTTCGCCTCTTCGAGAAATGCCAGGTTTGATAAAGCTTACATATTCACAAGAAGTCAAGCCGGCGGCCATTTTAACAATTTTTATTTATCTTTATTTTTATTTTTACTTTTTTAATCACGTCCAAGCATCCTGGTAGGTTGCTCACGTCTGCATTTCTGAGTTTATGATCAGTAAAAAGGATCTCTGCAGGAGTTATCCCCCACGGTTTTACCTATTTCATTTTTCAGTTGCCATTAGCAGTATAATTCATTTTTTAAAACTTTATGTCATCGACATGAGGTGGCCTATGCCGATGACGTAGTTACTCTACCACCAAGTTTTCCAAAAAATAGGACTCAATATGAACCTTTCCAAAAAATAAAACTATGATCTGGAATTGGAATGAAAGGAGTGATGGAACTGATACCCTGAATCCATCATAAATATGAAGACATCCTCTGTCAAGTTTTCCAAGAAATAGGACTCATGATAAACCTTTCCAAAACAGAAATTATGATCTGGAATTGGAATGAAAGCAGTGAATGTACATACACTGAAATTCAGAATATGGAATTGGTAAATGCCAAATATTTCAAATACATTGGAGTATGGATTAGGTAGGAGATGAAGCAATTAAACATAAAAAAGACTGCTTTAGAGGTAGTTTCATCCAATACCACAAATTACGACAAATCAAAATATTGAAGAGTAAATTTGAGTCATGTTTCTGAAAAAGTATAGAGACATTTATATGGATGTCATTCATGGCGTCATATCCATTCAGAAATATTTAAACTGTCCAACTGCATGCAACCGCATTCAATGACTACAGATGCCTTCCAGCAAATGAAGCCTGTAGGTCTTAGAACAGCCTTCTTGTTCGAAAAAGGTGGTTCTTTCTATGTCCTACAGAGTCTTGGATTGACGTTACAGAATCACAAAAAAGATCTGTACCAAATAACAGAAACCACGTCACTTAAGAACTCTTAACAGGTGAAACTACTAAAATGGATAGCGCATGAAAACATAATGACATAATCAACAATCCTTCAAATAAAAGGTTAGAAAGGAACCCCCCACCCACTAGTACTGGAAAGAGCGATAACAGCTACTGGACTTGAGAAAACTATTCTCCTGATAAATTGTTTTAACAAAAATATTTTACAAATTTCAACTACCTACTCGGTTAATGAATGCTAAAAGTTTTCTTATGCGGAATTAGCTTTACCATATTGAAGAGGAAAAGTGGCATTGAGTTTTATTTCTGTTTAGAATTTTGGACAGTAAAACGGCTAGCTTCATTTACCTTTAAGTGCTTTAGTTCTAAATTATTCTATCAATATTATTACTTTCCGCGATTGCATTATTAACAACACTTAGAGAATAGAACGATTTAAGAAAAGGGAAAGATAAGACACAGTGTTTAGACATTCTAACAATGTTTTCTTAAATTTATGTTTGAAAATTGTAGTTAGTGAATGGATTAAACTAACTTTAATAATGATGCAAAAGTAGATTCTAGGAAAATTAAAATATTAATAAACATTAAAATTAGATTGAGCGGCAAAAATATTTGAAGAGGCTGATTTTACGAATGTAAGCAGAGAGGAATGCATTTACATTTTTTTAAGCATTTCACCCTAAGCAAGATGTCGCCTGAGTCCATCCTTCAAATCTACAAGTCTGCCATTCGTCCTTTCATTGAATATTGCTGCCATATATGGTCTGGTGCCCCCGCTGTTCATTTCGAAGTCCTCAACAAAATCCAGAGACAGATATGAAATATAACTCCTGACCTGGCATCTCGTCTACAGTCACTTTCTCACTGTGGCTTCCCTCTGTCTTTTCTACAAATATTTCTACAAATATGGCAACTGTTCTGACGAGCTACTTTCACTGGTACCTCAACTGCACGAATTTAAGCACGCTACTACGTTGGCATCTCGTTCCCACCCTTTCACTGCAGAAACAGTTAAATGTTACCGCCTCTTCTATTCCAACAGCTTCTTCTATCTCATTTCACGACAGTAGAACTCCCGGACTCCTACTTGTTTCCCTTATAGCTATAATCTTCAAATATTCAAATGTAATGTCAATCGACATCTTCTGATGCCTTGATCCTGATCCCCGTCCTCCTCTTTATCCTTTCCTCAAACATCCCTCTTTACTCTTGCTCTCACTTTCTGTAACCCCTTGCGTGCTAGTGGCACTCCCGCCTTGCTTGGGGTGAAATGCTTTAGACACATCATAGTGCTATCCTCTCAGTGACACTTGCATTAATTCTCAACAACGAAAATTGTGATAAATGTGGAATATAGGCCGTAGAACAAAACGTAATATTTTGGAAACATTGTCAAAATATGTTCATTTAAAAACAGTGGCATTAAGAATAATAGATTTGAGAAAAATTAAAAGCATTGATTGATTGATTCGTTTTTTTTTGGGGGGGGGGTGGCTTATCAACCCTTTGTAGGTTATTTAAAGCCAGAAAATATTTTTAGATTTTAAGAATCTTTTTTTTTTTACATAATAATGGTTTAGTGATACAAGTCTTACTAATTAACCTATAAATGGGGAGAGAAGAATTGGATTCATACATTTCCTAAGGATATTTGCGCGTAAGAGAATATAACGAACCTAACTGGAATTGGAATTCGTCTTTCCGATTAACAATTCCGAGCCGTTACCTATTACACCACCCACACATCCAAGTTTACAGTACCTGGAATTTTCAAGCGGTCACCCATCTAAGTACTGACCAGGCTCAACGGTGCTTAATTTTGGTGATCTTCCGGGAACCGATATTTCAACGTAATGTGTTCGTAAGCCTACCTGGAATTGTACTGTCTATAATTCTAACCTAAAACGTTACTTCAACTCCTCCCCCGTCATTTTCTATTTCATTTTAGTTGAGTTTGCATGAAGGACTCAACTCCTAGACATTTCCTATGGTGCATTTATTGCAGTTTTGCTTTCACCACGAATAATAACTGTAGAGAAGTCAATTGTCGTAGAAATCTTTGCTTACCTTACCTGTTTCTCTTTGTGACGTATAGTTAAAGCTGACAGCAACTGTCATTGGTTCGTCAATGTTCTTGATATTCAACGCCTTTTTTCTTTGTTTGCCTTTGCAAAAATCATTTTTTCAAATAACTCCTTGCTGAACAATCCAGTTTTTCTCATGAGGAAATATAGGATAGACGACAGTTGACCTTAGACTTTAAGAGGTCAGGATTGTAATGATCGGGAAAGAATCCTCTTCTGGTAAAGGTATCTAAGTGGAACTTCATCTCTACCAATTGAATATGAAGGAAATGAATATGATTCGACTCGGTATATGTGGCATGGTGGGCGCTAGCTGTGAAATCTGGACTGGTGGAAGCAACTAATTAGTTCGCCCGAACATTTGCCATGAAAATAGTGATAGAATAATGAAAGGCTAGGAAAGTATAGTCTTTTGGGAAATGGGTTTCAGGATGGAAAAAAAAACGCGCAAACGTTTTTGAATTATGTCAAGGCTAGATTCAAAAGCATTTGTATGGTCTTCTGGGTGATGAATAGTGTTCAATCCTGTCTCCAAAGAGGCTTCATAGGCCGGAAGTGTTAGGAATTACTATTCTAGACATTTAGCGTAAAAGACTCGACTGATAAGTGTTCTATTATCTTGGAGAGTTTAATAAATGTTTAAAAAACTCCCCCATAACTACAATCTTAACGTCTTAAAGTCTAAGGTCAAGCGTTATCTATCCCAGATATCCTTATAATTTGCACATCTTACTTCCTCTTTTTACACTCATGCAACAATCTGATTGATTTGGTTTAGTTTGTTTTACGGTATATCAACCTCAATGAGTTATTTAATGCCGACAAGATTTTTTTAACAATCTTGTACAAAAATATATTGCCGGTATTAAAACCTTTTACACTTTCATAATGTTCCACGATCCTCAAAACCTCCTAAACGTAGGCCTTGCCGTTAAATGTAGCCTATCGTCTTACCCACGACGCGGATATAGTCTATCGTCTTACCCAGGACGGACAACAACCTGATATACAGTCTTTCCCCATAAAATGTCTCTTGGATTTTGTATTCAGTAAACAACAGTAAAAAATAATTTCAAACTAAATTTTTTCCATTTTCAAGTTTGATTTGTTTTGGTTTGCTTTGTTTTACGGCATATCAACCTCAATGGGTTATTTAATACCGACAGAATTTGTATTGCTGGTAATGTTTTTCTTCAAAAATCCATTTCTGGGAATATTTTTCCTTGAAGAAATCTATAGCTGGTGATATTTTTTCCAAAGAATGTATAGCTGTTTGTATTAGTGGTATTTTTTAAAGTATTGCTGATAATAATTTTCCAACAAAAAGTATTGCTGGTAATATTTTTTTATTACAAAGTATTTCTGGTATTAAAACCTATTTTTACACAAGTTTGGGTGTTAACTATTTGCCCATAGCTGGGACCCTAAAAGGTGCTACCACCCCAGGTCAGGGTGGACCTGGGAACACCAGCAATTAAGAGGTGGTTCCACGCTCCTCAAAACCTCCTGATCAGAGGCCTTGCTTGACGCTGGATGTAGTTTATCGTCTTACCCAGGACGCGGATGTAGTTTATCGTCATACCCAGGACGGTCCATATTGTCTGACTCAAAAAGTGCATTGTAGAATTGCAGTTTATAGAAATATTAATATCACAACAATTTGTATATGAAAACTTGTGACTCGATTCCTCTCCGGAAATCTAAAATCTCCACTAGGATGTGAACTTGAGAATCTCTGGCCTAGGAGCGTTCGGTGCAATTTTCAGAATCAAGCAAGTAATTTCCGTTTGAGCTTTACCTGATATTGCTAACAGTACATTAAAAAATCATAAATCCGAAAATCATGAATTCAGTTTCCTGGGAAGAGCCAGAGATTCCTGTCTGCTGTAGACGTACACAAAGGAAATCGGGATCGTTTTGTTTGGGAATTTTGAGGGAAGTGGCAAGATATTTGAAGTCAGATTCAGGGTTTTGTTTATGCTTTGGGATTTTGATAGTGTAGATGTTAGATTTTTCGGACTTGATATGACGAGATGACGAGGTGGATGGGTTGCTCCTCGCTTCATCACAATAACATGTAACGGTCCCAGCACCTTCAATTCAACATTTAGGTTCCGTTTGCAGATATTTGGCATATTCTTCGTTCTTTGTCTTTTTATAAAATAAAAGTAACCGTGAAAGAAAAATTCAGGCAGCTAAATCAGTATTATACAGAAGCAAATGATCATATATATGTTCGTATTTGTGTACCTCGAGGTGTTGTGATGGTTAGTAAGCTTGTCTCGCTAGAACAATTGCGAATGGGTAGTGAGTTCGATCCTCACTGAGTGCCCTTTACTTTCGGCCTTGTGCCACATCCAACCTACTCTGGGAAAATCACTATATGTTCGTATTAGCAGGGAAATTTTTTTTTTTTTTGCTGTTGTTTGTGATTTCCTCTTACTTTTTCTTCTCGTATTTATCCACTTTTTTCCTTTCCTGTCTTTCTTTGTTTTTGTCTTTGTCCATTACCCCCCTCTCGTTATTATCACCTTTACCTTTTTTCTTGTGTCTACCTCTTCTACTCCACGCTCCTATTTTTCTTCTTTCTTTATTTTTCTTGTTTTCTATTTCCTTTTTTTTAAATTTCTTTTCTCTTTCTTATTTTCTTTCTTTCGTTCTTTCTTTCTGTTTCGTCCTTTTTATTTTTGTTTGTTTCTTTCTGTTTTTTTCACTGTTGCTTTTTTCTTTCATTTTGTCTTTCTTTTAGTTTCTTTTTCTTTCTCTTTTTCTGTTTCTTTCTTCTTAATTTTTTCAGTTTCCTTTTTTATTTATTTTTGTTTCTTTTCTCTTTCTCTTTCTTTCCATTCCTTTCGTTCTTTCTTTCTCTTTCTTCCTTTTTTTCCTTTCGTTTTTCTTTCTGTTTTTCCTGTTTCTTTTTTCTTATTTTTTTTCAGTTTCCTTTTTTATTTATTTTTGTTTCTTTTCTTTTTCTTTCCATTCCTTTCGTTCTTTCTTTCTCTTTCTTCCTTTTTTTCCTTTTTGTTTCTTTCATTCTTTCTGTTTTTTCGTTGTTTCTTTCTTTTCATCATTCTTTTGACTTTTTTCTGTTTCTTTCGTCCTTCATTTTTTTCTTAATTTCTTCAGAATTAAACCACTACTTTTTCCTCGTCGTCCCATTGATTCTCTCACTTTTTCGATTCTCTCTTTCCTCTTCATCCCCTCTTATCCCTATCCTTGTTATTTCTTCTCCTATCTGCGTTTTCCTCGCCATTTTTTCGTTTTGACATTTAAATCCTACACTTCATCTCTTTCCCATCGACCACCTTCTGACCACCTTTTCTAAAATCCCTTGGTCAAATAGAGACTTTTTACAGTATGTGTGCACACACACACACACACACACACTCACATATAAACAGACACACACACACATATATATATATATATATATATATTGATTATTTCTTTTTTCTTTCTCTTCTTCCTTACTTCTTTCCTTTCTTCCTTCCTTTCCTCCTACCTCACTTCCTTCCTTCTTCCCATATTCCTTTTCATTCTTTGTCCGATTTTTCCTTCCTTTCTTCATTCGTTTCTTCATTCCTTCCTTTCATACTTCTTTCCTTCTTTCTTTTCTTTTTTCCTTCCATATTGTCTTTCTCTCTTTCGTACTTCTTTCCTTTTTTCCTTCTTCTCTTTTCCTTCTTTGTTACTTCTTTCCACCTTTCCTTCTTTCCTTTCTTTCAGCCTTCTATATTTCCGTTTCTTTCTTCCTTTCTTCTTTCCATCCTCTCTTCTTTCTTCCTCTCACTCCTTCTTCCCTCTTTTCCTCTTTCCTTATTCCTTCTTTCCATACCACTTTCCCTTCCTTCCTTCCTTCCTTCCTTCCTTTCAGACTTCCTTTTTTTCCTCCTTCCTTTCTTACACCCCTTCCTTCCTTCCTTCTTTCCATCCATTCTGTCTTGCCTCCTTTTCTTTCCTTTCTTCCATTTTACAGACCAGCCTCTTTGTCATTTACTTTTACCTTTTTTTCTTTCCCTTCTCCCAGCTCCATTTTCACAGATTGACATCTGTCAGTGTGACGCAGAGAAAATATTACGACTTAAACTCGAAAAATATTGTGACAGACGAACATTGTGCTCCGAACACACTTCCTCTCCCCATTAACAACATCAGTCGAGCAAGAAGAATAGCAACTTATTTTGCTTATTAATTTCTTGATCAATTCACCGTTTTCATATTTTTAAAAGCAAACAGCCGAAATACACTTCAAGACAAGTCAAAGTAGTTTGACAAAAAAAGAAATGAATGAAAAAAAAAAAAAAGAAAATGGCGTTTGTTTTACTTGTTCTGAGAAGGATGAATTACTAATCCATGCAATATATGAAATTCTTTGAAAGCTAGTAACCTACAGTTTTCCGCTAGTCATGTAAACTAAACCATGGTCTGACATCTAATATGATTTTGATTTTAACTTAGATATATAGACTTTTCCCGCCAAATTTTTTACAAGTAGTTTTCGTTAAGCCTGAATGGTAATATTAAATGTTTCCTTAGAAAGAGACATTCATCACTGTCGGCTTTAATATTTATAAAATATTTATATTAAAACATTTTTAGGAAAATAGGATTCTCACGTCAGTAACTGTTATCGCTATTTTCCAGAATCGCTCTTTTCCAGATATGCTCTTTTCCAGAATAGCTTTTTTTTTCAGATTCGCTCTTTTCCAGAATCGCTGTTTTCTAAAAAACGCTCTTTTCCAGAATAGTTCATTTCCAGATTTGCTCTTTTCCAGATTCGCCCTTTTCCAGAATCGCTCTTTTCCAGAATCACTCTTTTTATGGCGCCTACCTTACTATACTTTTGTTCGATATATTGCGAGTTACATATGCTATCCATCTTAGCAGTTACCGCTGCTGAAAGTTCTCAAGTAATGTGGTTTCTGTTCTTTGGTACAGTTCTTTCTGATTCTGTAGCGCCAGTCCAAAGGGTTAGAAGGATGGTCTCCGCTAAAACCTATAGGCTTCATTCACCCGAAGCTATTGATCCAAGAAAGAGGTTGACAGTTGAAAGTTTTAACATTTCTTAACGGGTTGGGCGTCATGTATGGCATCTATATGAAAGTTTCGACGCGAAAAATGTCTTCCAGAAACTAAACAAAGTATTAAGACAGAAAAAATTTGTTAGAAATAAAACAAAGAGTACTAAACTCCTATGCAATATCTAATCTTCTATATGTCAGTGAATATTGGACAATCTCCTCACAGATGAACAACAGATGTTGTAAGCTTGGATATGCGGGTGTTGTAATGAATAACGACACGAAATTGGAAATTGGAAAGTGGAGTTCCAATTCCAGTCGGGTTCGTTATATTCACTTACACACAAATACCATTGGGAAACGTATGCACCATCTCTTCTCCCCCAGCTATGGATTAATTAGTAGGACTTGTATCAGTAAATCATTATTATCTTAAAAATATTCTTACAATCTGAAAAATATTTTCAGCCTTTAAATAACCTGCAAAAGGTTAATAAGCCGTGAAAAATCATTTTAAAACATTGATCTGGTCGCATACAGCTGACAGTTAAGATATTTCTAAACGATTCACCACACAAGCTTCATTCAACAATTTTCACCCGAAAAGTTTCACCCAACAGTTTCATCCAACAAGTTTTATTCAACAAGTTGGGTGAAACTTGTTTCATTCTACAAGTTCCACCCAACAAGCTTCGTTGGGTGAAACTTGTAGTATGAAACTTGTTGGGTGAAATTTGTTGAATGAAATTTGTTGGGTGAAACTTGGGTGAAACTTGTTGAATAAAACTTGTTGGGTGAAACTTGTTGGGTGAAACCTGTTGGGTGAAACTTGTTGGGTGAAACCTGTTGGGTGAAACTTGTTGAAAGAAACTTGTGTGAAACTACCGCTAGTGTAGCCTATTCTATGCCTATACTAAATTACTTACAATTGATCCATACACACAGATATTTGCAATATTTAGTATTTACTAATTCTCCATCCTGAATTTTTGTAATGATTTCAAGTTTAATTTTTCCACTGTATTCAAGCCAATATCTGGTTTGGTGCTCCTGCTTTTCATCTCGATGTTCTTGACAAAATCCAAAGAAGGATCTGCATCTTGACTGCAGTTACTTTCTCACCGACGTGATTTAGCTTTTCTATAAATATTTCATGGCAACTGCTCTGACGAGCTTTTTCCCATTTTACCCAAACTATATGAATTTAAGCGTACTACGAGATTGATATCTACGCCCCACCCCTTTACGGTCAAAACGCCACTTCTACGCCAACGGTTAATTTTCTCGCACTGTCCGCCTGTGGAACTTATTTCCGTTTACTTGCTTCCCTGAAAACTACAGTCTTCAAAATTTTAGATGCAGTGTCAGCCGCCATTTTCTGTTGTCTTGAACCCCGTTCAATTTTTTATCCTTTCCTCAATCCTCTATACTCAGTCTTTTCTCTCACTTTCACTCTCTGTAACCCACCCACCCTGTGTACTAGTAACATTCCAGCCTTGCTTAGGGTCAAATTATATTTTTTTTAATTACAGATGATTGTTTCTGTTTTGTAAAGGTTTATTATAGTTTCTACTTCTTGAATTTTATTAAACTGTTTTATAATTTATATATATATATATATATATATATATATATATATAAATGAGAAGAATGTTGTACGTGTGTGTGTGTGTGTGTGTGTGTGTGTGTGTGTGTGTGTGTGTGTGTGTGTGTGTGTGTGTGTGTGTGTGTGTGTGTGTGTGTGTGTGTGTCGCCTAACACCCTAACACAACTGAACAGCCATATGTCGGCTCCTCATATTCGGCACGAATACGTACTGGAACGTTCTTCGTCAGGATCAAGCTCTTTTCTTTCATACCATATTTTTTTTGTAACAGATACTATTTGTAACCGTACGATGTATGACAATAATTTCTCTTTTACTGTTGATGTCTAAAAAAGAAAATGTCTATGTGCTTTGAAAAACAAAAATTCACTAAAAGAATTTTTCCCAAAAATATATTTACTATTTGCTACAGCTTTTCTCCATTGTAAACACGATCAGGAAGCAAATTAAATAAATATTGTTTTTCTTTTCCTTTACTAATTGCTTTATTCAATTACTGTACATGATCGATGTGAGTGAAAATAAAACTGAAACTGATGAACATGAAGAATGAAAGAACTAACTTTGTAAAGTGGACATTGTTATTTTTATATTTCCTCGCCACATACATTCTTATAATGTGTCTGGAATTGAATTTAAAAAATAAACTTATGTTTTGCCTGTCCTAAAATTTAGTCAGTTTCGAATAAGTTGACTTTAATTAGAAAGAATTCCCTTGAAGTTATAACAAACAATTTTTATTGTGTTAATATTGATTGATTTGTTTTTTACGCTATTTACATTATTCGGACTATTGCTCTCATCTTTGTCGCCACATTTATTACAACGCTTGGGCCTTTGTACGCTTCGGCCTTCTTCAGTATCAGTTTATATTTCTGAGATGAGGTACTATGTACACTATTTACATTATTCGGATTATTGTCCTCATCTTTGTCGCCATATTTATTACAACGTTTCGGCCGTTGTATGCTCTGGCCTTCTTCAGGTGTTTGGAATGTCGAAATGAATCCTTTATTTCGCTCACTGTGGTAGACTTTTCTAGTTCCACGTGCTATGTCTAATGGATGTCAGTTATCAGTTATCTCCTGTTAATTCACTTCTCCAAGTTCTCCACCGCCTTAACCAAGTATTGAACTCACACTCTTTGGGTCCTGTCACTGGATGTAACTAACGCCTTTATCCACTGTGCCATGTGGTTAAGGCGGTGTATTGAGATAAAAGAACATATATACAAAATAAAAGTGTTATTAGTAAGCAGATAGACGTGTTCGTCCGAACTGTCAGGTTACACTTCGTCCCGACTGTCTATATTTAACAGTCCCCCCACGCGGGATGTATGTGGCACAAGGCCGAGTTTACCGTGGGTTCTCCGAGCCCGTAGGTCGGCCAAAAACATTCCTACAGAACCCGCATAAATGGGTTTGGGTCTGTCTACCTCCCATGACGAAACTCTGTCTTTTGGCATAGCTTCGTCCGGGTTCCTCTATGCTTTGGCAGAGAGTTCGACAGAAGTCGCACACAGTCAAAGACTGCGTCTTGACTGTCGATATTCAGTCACCCACCACCCACGCTGGGGCGTCATGTGGCACAAGGCCGTTTTTAATGTGAGATTTCCGAGCCCGTTGGATTGGCCCAAAAATATGCCCATTGAACCCGTATAAACGGGTTCAGGGCCGGTTTACCTCCCCGAAAGAGAATCCGCCCTTCGGCGAAGCCTCCTTCGGGTTCTTCCCCGCCCGAAGGCAGAGAGTTCAATCGAACAACCGGACAAGAGTTGAGCGACTGTCTGTCTCCTTCGGAAGTCTCGCAGGTTAGTATTTATGAAGGAAGAAGCGTTCATTCTAATGTTTATAGTTCACCATAACACTTCATAAGTAATGTCACCGTATTTACAAGAATGCGAATGTTTGAATTAGGGTTGAATAACTTGAAAGTTCCCGAAAGTAACCCATGTTTTGCCTTCTTACAAAATGCCACCGAATAACAGTCTAATAAAATATCATTTGGCATGAAAATGCGTATGAAATAAAGGTGTGTGATTGGATTTCACTATGCATAAACTTTGCACTCCTGGACGTTAATCGATTCTTACTGAAGGATGACAGAGACCAAAATGTTGATATGTCATCATGTCTGTTGGGAAAAATCAGTCAGTTCCGCTTGCGCAGATTTTGATGAGAGTGATTTATAGACCCATGTACATCGCCTTGCATCGTCATTGGTTGTGACTATATATAAAAATATTTACTTATAACTGAAAACATGCTCCATCCAACGATGTAATTTTAATTTTTCAATGTTTCATGCTAGACGCAATCGTCAGGCCACCATCAGGGTGGCCTGACGATTGCGTCTAGCATGAAACACACTGTCGCCTCAGTGTTGACTTCAACGTTCACTTTCATATTTTCACACGTTCTATCTCTGATATTGATCACTTTATCCCATAAATATAGCACATCTTAAGACTACATTTCTTCATATATATATATATATATATATATATATATATATATATA